CTGCCTGTAGTTTAGGACAGGTTTTCCTTGACAAAAAGCAGTCCAGAGCATCCTTCTGAGGTGTGGGGAGACAAAAACAAAACAAAAAAAAAAGGGAAGATTTGTATAAGTAAGGTTGTTTGTTTTTTTTTCTTCTCTCTCCTGCAATTTATTTTGAATGGTGAGGTGGTTATTATTATATATTTTTTGTTCTTGTAGTTCACAAAGTTTGTCACCACCCTGCAGTCTGGGTGACCGTTTTCAAAACAGGTTTGGGGTAGGAAAGAATTGGTGCTGGAGGGGAGCTCCCATCCAAACACAGGAGGTCTGAGGTTGCTGTGGGATAGTTTGGCAGAACTGCATCATCACGTCTCCTCTCTTTCTCCTGGCAGTGTAAATGAAGCAAGTCGTGGACAGGTAGGACGGTACAGATGCTGCTTTTTATTTCTTTTCAGAGTTGAGAAAACTAGGTCGGGGGAGGGGGTTGATGCAAGGAAGGGAAATCTCTAATATATCTGGAAAACGATGCTGTGCTGTCGCAGATTTGGCTTTGTGTCCCTGGAAAGACGGGATGTGAAAAATAAATGGTATGGATACACATTTTCAGGCAGAGTTTTCAGAGTTTTCTTTTCATGTTTTTCAGAGTTTTCTTTTCATGTTTTCTTTTCATGTTTTTCAAAGCGTTTTAAAATCTGTTTTGATCCTTTTCCAGGTATTGTTTTGACTGAGGTCATTTGTTCATGCTGTGAATGAATCCCACACCACTATTTTGCAGAGTTGAGCAACACTAATAATTGATATTACAATATCTTTCAAAATGCTTCTAATATAGATTTTTTTTTCACCGCGAAGGTGCTTTGATTAGACTCTGCAGCACATATGAAATGCTGTCAAAATAATCTGAGATGCTACCTTGTATCCATAGGTGAAAACATTCATCACTCAACTGAGCCAGACCTATGATAATGTTTTGTGCAGTAAGGTTCAGTAGAATCACATATACAAGGATGAACAACTGCCAAGACATCCTTCAGCTATATCTGCAGGGAGGAAAAGTAATTAGAAACTAAGGAGATGTATAGTAGAGAACTTGGAAAAAACATTGCTTTGTAAAAGTTATTGATGTGATATAAAATGGCTCTGACTGAAGTAATATCAAACTGGAATTAGCTGGCAATGACATACTGTCTTTTTAATGAACAGTGGAATATATCAGGAGTTTTTCAATTCCTTGGCATATTAAAATGGTTCAAAATAGGGGGTACAGTATTTCCATTTTTTAAAGCTTTTTGACAGCTGACCTTACAGGTCAGTTGTCTTTTGAGATAGTACAGTCTGTGGAGTCTAGTCTTTGTGGGTGCTTTTACATGAGCTCTGGGAGTGAAGGATGAGGGGGAGGCACTTTAATTAGAGCACATCCAAGAGCCACTCTAATTAAAGCGCCACTGTCTCCTGTATCAGCATCCCTGCACTTAAAAATGGTGGCAGGGGCACTTGAACTAAAATTAACTTTAGTTCAAGCACCCCCACCTCCATTTGTAAGTGCTGGGATACTGATACATGACATGCAAGAGGTTGCTGGAGCATGGCAATTGCCAAGCTCCAGCAGACTTGATTATCTGGAGCGGCCTCCACCACACTTACGTATAGGCGCCCTGTGTGTATGTATGCAGTGGGTTTTCCATTTGAGTAAATGAGCTTTAGAGGTAAAACATAATAAAGAGCCAGCTCACCTTTTTAGTAAGAAAAATATTTTTGCTTTAGCAAAAAAGGAAGACTGAGGAGGGATTTGATAACTAACTGTCTAGTTTTGAGCCCCAGACTTCAAAACAGGACAGGTTGGACAGGGTGGACAGGTTGGAAAGAGTCAAGCACAGAACAGCAAAAATGACTTGGAAAGCAAGACTTATGAAGAAAGGCAGAAAGGGTGAGGGGTATTTAGTTTGGAGAAGTCTTCAAGTACCTGAAAGGCAGTTAGAGAGAGTAGGGAGATGAGCTTTGCTCCATGGCCATAGGGGACAGGACTAGGAGCAGTGACCTCAAGCTCAACCTCAAGTAGGGGAAATTGAGGTTGGCAATTAGGAAGAACTTTCTGATTATGAGGGAGGTCAAGCACTGGAAGAGGCTACTGAAAATAAATTTTGGAATTTTCATCCATGGAAGCTTTCAAAAGCAGATGGGCAAACACTTGGCTGAAATGGTCATGTCAGGGGTTAAGAATTGATCTAGCTGGGACCTTGAGCTGGAGGCTGGATTAGATGACTTCGTGAGGTCACTTCCCCTACTTTCCTATGATCCTATTTTTTTAAATAATCATTAGCATATTAGCCTAGGCTACAGAACTGCATCCTGATAGAATGGATGGAATGAGTATAAAGAAGGTGCTTGTTCCACTGCCAGAACAATATACTGGAATATAATAACTAACCGAATGGAAGTTTTAGTAAAATCAAATATAATTTGAGCAAAATTGTACATGGTGATGGGGAGGGTGGAAGATTGTTTGTGACCTATTCACTGATGATTTTATGTCCTGAAGCATGAACTTGGGATAGCTCCTTTTTATGATATACATAATTACAGCTATTATTGTATAGAATGTGTATGTGCCTACAAATGTACAAAAACATAACATATAAATAAAACATTTCCATCAAAACAACTGGAATTTGCCTGAGTACAGAATTTAGATTCACCGAGTGACCTCTTGTTCTAGTGTTGTGTTGATGGGTAAAAGCAAAGGAATGGCTAATTTTCACTATACTTGTCTATTGTGAGGTGTACAGGTTAGTCTGATCTCTTCAAACTCTTCTCTTTTCCAGGATAATTTGTAGTGTTTGTAAAGTTCACACAGTAATGGTTGTTACTGTTGCAGTGTAAGCAGAGATTGGTCTGATATAAGGTGGCATTTTTAGTGCTTTACACGGGGAAGGGTAACTGATATAACTAGAAAACCTCACATGTCCAGGGGGTAGATACAACAGAGCTAATTGTGTTCCTCAATTTGGGTTACCCTTCAGTTTGGGATACAGATGATATACTACATGATAGAATTGCCTAGCAAAGTAGTTGAGATACCTTGAACAGAAATAATATACAATCCTTTTCCGTGTGTTGGGCTCATTCACTTAACTTTGCAAGTATTACCTTCAGTGGATCAACTCACAGGCCTGAAGCTATGCAGGATGTAGGTTGGATGTGCAATTATACAATAGTATATCTGTGCAAAAAAACCCTCTTTGCTATGAGGTGATTACAAGGCCCATGACGTTTTTAATGGCAAAGAAAAAAAAAAGAAATTGGAAACAGCAAAATATATTTCTCAATCAACTTCGCAAAAGTTGAAAGGGGTGGTATCGAGTAGTTTATGCCAAAAACTAATGCATCTTCTAAGAGGGATAAAATAATGAGGAAAAGTTGACTAGATGTTGGCAGCAGAGATAGCTATAATCTTTCAGTCTGTTGCTGAGAAGTGTAAATCAGTGAAGTAAGCCAGTAGCAGGAGAATGTGTTTTAACAAAAGACCATTCATCTTAAAGGATTAAAAATTAATACAATAAACTCTGTTCATTTTTCAGTAATTTTTAAGAAGTGTAAATGAGTCATTGGTATAACTAAATCACTTTTTATTGCAATACAATAGTAAATTGTAAAGGGCAAACTCTGCCTTAATCATGCAGAGTAAATTGGAGTATTTGTATGGGTAAGGCAAGCTAGATTTTACTGTGCAATTTTGCAGGAGAATGGTTATGGTGGTTTGACAGCAGTGCTGGACAACAGGTACCAGAATTTTATTTAGCAGAAAAAAGAATAGAAATCAAGTCCAAAGGAGAAAATACTTAGAAGTGTCCCAGCATCAAGTGAAAAATGAAGAATTGCTTTCTCAAGCTTGTCATCTTTGAAGATCTCTCTCTTTCTCCACCCCTGCACATTTCCTCATTGAGAACAAGAGTCGATCTGGCTGTCTTGATTTCTGTGTCAAATCCATAAACCCACTACACAGCCCAAAATTTGTCCTGTACACTGGGTATCTCTGTAGGATAGCAAAAAAAAAAAATCTTCCTTTCTGTTCTGCAGCAACTAGTGTCTCCAGAATAAGAGTCTGATTGTGCGCCATTGGTGGTACTATACAGCTGGACTACAGACCTTGAGGGTGTTTGCACCTAGTGGCTGCGTCCAAATAACCGGAGCGTGCAGTTTGTGGTGCCATTAAAATGTACATTGCACTGCAAATTTACAGTGTGGTGGCAAAATCTGCTACCAGGATTTCCTGGTAGCAACCCCCCCCCCCCCAAAAAAACC